TTGAGGTATAAAATAACAAAATATTAATATTAATAATATTTCAATGGTTTTTAGATTATTCTAAAAATTCAATAAAAAAAAACTTAAACTGTAGAAATTCAATTTCTCCTGAATTGACAAGAATGTAAATATATACTTCATATTATTCCACCAAGATATTTATCAGTGCTATACTTTATTAATTAACCCTTATATTTTTTTTTTTTAAATTATAAAAAATATTTTATTTAATATTATAAAATTTATGAGTCCATTTCGGTTTTATTGTAAATTATTTAAATCTGTGATTATTCCGAAAGATTCATTAAAATTGTGAATCTGAGCACTAACAAATTTATATCTTTAATGTACAATATAAAAAGTTAACAATTTTGTGCTGGCCCATTTATCAAAGCAATTAAAACTTAATAAAATACTCACTTTTCGATAAAATATTGATATTATATAGTTGTGATTGAACAGTAAATAATACAATACAACATTAATTCTTAATTTTCACATTGTTTTTTGCATAGTAGGCTTGTGTACTTTAGCATTATTTGTGATATTCACGCATGTAGAATTATTATTACGACAGAATTTAGCAAATTGTTCCTTTTGACTACATAAATGACAGCTTGTGCTGAAAGTCGAAAGTTTCAATATTGAATATTGTGGATTGAAACGTTTTTGTGGTCTATCTTTCAAATATTTTTTCCCTCGAATATTTGATAGTCTTATCCTCTATTCTTCTTTAGCTGCTTGAATTGCTATTTTAAGTATTGAAGAATTCCGGGTTCTTATAAAATCTTTCAAATTTTCGAGTTCTACCATAAACACTTAGATTACTTGATTGTAATCAAGTAATCTAAGTTTTTAAAAATCAATTAATAATTATTAATTGATTTTTCTATCGCATTGGCTACCTCTGAATATTTGTTTTACGTCTCTTGTTTTATTATGTGATTTTGTAACTCTTTTATCTTCATTGTATATGATAGTAGTCCTCCTTGGCCGTTGCTTTGTAGCTTAATACTCCAATTAAAGGTGTAAGACAAATGTGAAGTGCCATGCCTTACCGGACAATCGAGTATGATTTGCGCGTAATAACCGTAGAATGGCCACTAATTCTACACATCAACTGTAAATTTTTATTTTTCCAAAAGGATTTCCAGTTGCTCCACTCTCTTCCATAAAAAGAATTAGGTAGCAATCTCATTGCTTCCTACAACCCTAATCGCTTGTTTGAAAGAGGTGGATGATTTAGATTGGCGCCGAAAGAATTTGAATGGTTTTGTAAGTATTGTTCCATATATGATCAATGAGCAATTTTACTTTAATCATAGGTATATTCATTTCTTTTTCTTTATTCATTTTATCATTGTTTGATTCGTTTACTTTACTATCACTAGACATATTGTCTTCTTCTGCCACTAAAGTCTTGATGAAGTATCCAATTAGTAGGTGGATAAATACTAGCTCTTATTTTTTCAAGTCCCCGCTTAGTTTCTGAATCGTGCTGGTCTTTCAATAGGTTTACCTTCGTGGCAGTTTGACATGCACATGTTGTTTTTACATATGGACTATAGCTTTTTACTAACGTGTACCAACACATAGATAGCGTTATAGATGTAGAAACGACAGTCGAAATGGAAGGTAGTTTTACTTAGTAAGTATTGTTGTACTTTAAAGTGGATGTTGAAGTGGACGCTTACGTAGTCATGAACGTTGATAAAGAAATGATTGAATAGTAGAGGTTGACTTCAATGTGGAAATGGACGCGGACGTAGATATTAACGTATTAGGATTAATTAGGATTCACAATAGGAGTTCGAATAGGATTTGCTTTTGGGGTTAAATCTAATAATTCGTGTAATTAGGATTTTGAATGGTTTAGAAGGTTATCCTAAAGTTAAGTACATTTTTTATTATGCATAGAATTATATATTTACAGGCTTTTCCGTCATATCAAACATTCATTACTATGATATTAATATTTCCCTTATATCAATCTTTTTAATATCAAATTTTAGTTATAAAATCATTTTTATTTTAAGAAAAATGAAAACTTGAAAAAAAACAAAAATTTATTAAATTTGCGTTATAATCAAGCATATAAAATTCTACGAGATTGCGCAAATACTTATTCCCTGGATGCACGATATTATATGAAAAGACTTAGTAATTAATATTTATATAATTTCCATTCAATA